ATTTCGTCTTAACTTCTTTGTTCAAAAGCGACTCACAAAAGCTTTGCGTATCTATAACTTTTAATGTTATCTTTCTTACATTGTTTTCTGGACCTTATCAACAAATTATATAAAGGTGTTGACGTTTACTATAGCAGTTGGGTTCACAGATCAATTTACGAAGCAACAGCAGAGCTACCGTGTACACTACAAGAAAGAGAATGCTAAATTAATCCTCTTAGCAGTTATTTTGTGCTTTTTCAGGCAGCAAAAGATGACTTAAATTTTGGAAAAACTTAATACTCAAATGATCCGACACACTCACGGCAATTGAAATACGGAATGATCGCATCTAGTCAGGCCGTTCAAGGTCGTCGAAACGAAACGGCGGGCAGATTTGAAGGGGTTCACCGTTTTTCACTTTCCGCAGATGAGTGGAATACTTCAGCTTACTATTCGTTTTTTTTTCACGTATAGACTAGTTTCAGTTTATATCACTAGTTTTATCCATTTTTGTCCGTTTTCAGTGTGCTTTTTAGTGTTTTTTAAAGGTCTTAGGCTTTTGCAAGCGTCTGTAACATAGTTTGCTTCAACATAGTCATGAAAAACTCATGCAAACGTCCGGGTTGCAGTTTTGCTGTTACAACTGGCATGCAGTGCGACACCCGCAAAGGTTGGTTCCACGAAGCATGCACAGATCTGACAGAAACTGTTTACAACAGACTCAGCAAGTCAGACCAAAAGTGGGTATGTGTCACGTGCAGCACGGAGGCTGTAGTCTTGTTGAGTAACATCATCGTCCTACTGACAGGTCTTCGGAACAAGTCGTCAGTTAACTTAGATAACAATAGTAAAAAAAACCGGTAGACAAACAAGAGGATGCGACGGATACAAAAATAGGGATTTCGACAGGTATTCCAACGATGGAGCATCCATCAACATTAATGATGACGTGTCGAGGCTCAGCACCATCATCACGTTGACGGTATTAGACTCCCTAAGCAGACTCGGGTCTTCCAGCTCAGGGTCCCTGAACACAACAGTGGTTCCCAAAAACCCTGTAAGTGATTCGACCCACGTTAAGAGAGCCCAAAAAGAACCAGGTGTCACCGCCTAAGCCGAGCAACCCAAGTGTTTCTGTACGGGAAACAACTGGTGATTTGGTCGCACAGTCTACCCCCAAGACTGTTCGTCCGGTCATCAAAGAGCCCAAGACTCAAAAACGCGCACTGACCTCCAAACAACAAGTTATTAAACCTGAACCCATCGTGAAACCTGGTAAATTAACAACAGTTCGTGACGATTCTCTCATTATCATGAACCTCGTTGACAATCCTGACCTTCCTGTCAGTCTGCAGGACGAAACGACAGGATGCTCTGGGGTGAATTGAACAAGAAGCTTGAACTTCCTAGAATAGAGCCTTTGACGGTCACCCGGCTCACTCGAGGAAAGGATTCTAAGCATCTAAATCATCCGAGGCTTCTCCGATTAACACTTAAAAATGCTACCGACGTAGAGGACGTCTTGCTAGCAAGTCACTTACTGAAATCAGATGGTAACGTAAGAATATTGCCCGACATACCGTACTCTGAGCGCAATATCATACGAAACGTCCCTAAAGAATCTCGCGAGAAGTTCTTCCGCGGAAGAAACATAATTGTCCAAGGTATACCGGAAAATGCAGACCCTACTCAATCGAATTCTGACATCAGAGAATGGAAATTCATCAAACAGTCCTTGAGGCTCAAACACATACTGACTCAGCATGTGACGAGACTAGCCAAGAAGGACGGTGATCTTAGACCCCGTCTAATGAAGATAACCTTCCCATCTTCCCACATGGTGGCTGCAGTTCTAGAAGCATTTCGTGCCAACAGACGTCGATTGCCACCTGGAATCCACATGCACCCGGATAGGCCACACAAATCTAGGACCAAGCACAAAGGCAAATTGGAGCTGACCATTCCACTTGTGGACTGTCTAAATGATAAAAAACGTGTAAAGGACAGAGCCTACCACCTCGGTAAACCTCATATAGGTGGGCTACCTGTCCATTCACATAAGGCTCATACAGAAAAACAGGACGAAGCTCACGAGTTCCAAATTGAAAGCATAAACTACTTATATATGAACGCCGCGAGTCTACCAAACAAACTGGATGAATTACGTGGACTTGGCAACGCTGAGGCCCATCTGATAAGAATATCTGAAACCTGGATATCTTCTCAGTTCTCGGACCAAGAGATAGCATCACCTAGGATGACTTTGTTCCGCGACGACAGAAAAACAGGAATTGGGGGCGGAGTAGCTATATACATAAGCTCTTGCTTGGAGGTGCACCAGGTTCACAACCTCGAGTTTAACAATCTTGAGGAATCCATATGGTGCTCTGTTAGATTGTCTAGCACTTCGAGGTGTCTAGTTGCAGTCATTTACAGGAAGCCAACTGCCGACACCGAGTACGATAGTCGTATGCTGGAAGGACTATCCCGCTCTACCCGTCTCGGTTTCACACACATCCTGATTCTAGGGGACTTTAATCTTCCTAGAGTCAACTTCGCGGAACACACGTACACTGGAGGCGACAACCCAATTGAAGCTCGGTTCTTCAACCTCATCGATGACTTGGGCTTATATGAAAAAGTGAGGTCGGCAACTCGTTGGAGAAACAGTCAGACATAATCGCGCTTAGACTGTGTATTCACAAACGAAGAATTCCTAGTTGACAACCTCTCAATCCTGGCTCCTCTGGGAAAGAGCGATCATGACGTCATAGCCTCCAGTTTTGTCATCAAAACTAAGCTAAGGTATCCCAATAATAATTTGCGTTGGAATTTTAAACGGCTGAATGTGCCAGCTCTACATGACCATCTACAACAGGTGGTTTGGGATGTTTACCCCCCAACTCGATGTGGACGGTCATTGGGACTTCTTACTGCACACGCTCTTATGTGCTACAAACCATTCAGTTCCTCAAACGGTTCCTAAAAGCTGCAAGCCACCTACAGTAATCAAGAACCGTACCCTTGGCCTGCTAAGCCGAAAAAGACACTGTTGGGCGGAATACAAACGAACTGATAACGACGGAGCGTATAGACAATATGAACATATCAGGAACATGTGCACGAAGGCTATAAGAGAAGACAGGCTTCAGTACCAGACAAAGCTTATGGACAAATTTGCCTCTAACCCTAGAAGCCTATTCCGTTATGCAGCCTCTCTTCGTCAAGCCAAATCAGGAGTTTCTCAACTACAAAGTCTTAACGGCCCGACCAACAACGATGGCGACGCCGCTAACCTTCTGGCGGCACATTACTCTCAAACATTTCAACCTGCTGACATCAATATTACTGACGACAGTTTCATCTGCAATTCCACAAGACTCTCCGAAGTGAACCTAAGCGCTGACTTTGTGTTCCGTAAATTGCAGCACTTAAGACTAGACACTTCTCCTGGCCCGGATATGGTTCATTCTGCCATACTGAGGGAGGCAGCCTCAATCCTGGCAACGCCGCTTAGCGTGATGTTTTCACACTCGCTAAGCCGAGGTAAATTACCGGGAAATTGGAAGTTGGCTCACATCACACCAATTTTCAAAGGAGGTCGACGCAATGATCCTTCAAGTTATCGGCCGGTGGCTCTTCTGTCATTACCTTCAAAACTCATGGAGTCCCTGATATGCGACGGTTTAAACGACTATCTACTGTCATAAAATTTCTTCTCACCCCAACAGCATGGTTTCAGGAAGGGTTACTCTTGTATAACCAACCTGCTGACTGCGGTGGACAGATGGACAAGCATCCTCGATCGCAAGGGAAAGGTTGATATCATTTACCTTGATTTCTCAAAAGCTTTTGATAAGGTTAACCACTTTTGTCTTATCAACAAGCTCAAACGACTAGGTATCAAACCACCTTTAATCGATTGGCTTACTTCATACCTAAAAAATCGACACTTTAAGGTTAGGGTTAATTTCACTTTATCTCAGGCTATGGAATGTCCTAGTGGGATCCGCCAGGGCTCAGTACTAGGGCCTCTTCTCTTCTTGATCTACATAAATAATCTTCCTCAACAGGTAGCGTCAGACTTATTACTTTTTGCCGACGACGTGAAACTTTGGAGAGAGATACGATTTACAGGCACTTCAGGAGGATCTGACTCGACTTCAAAGTTGGGCAGACGATAACGGACTTTCCTCTAACACTTCAAAGTGTAAAGTAGTCCATCTGCGACATGTCGCAAACTACAGTTGCAACTTATGAAACTCCTCTCTAGTAGTATCCCAAGTCGAAAAAGATTTAGGAGTCTTGGTACCCCATGATTTTAAGTCCTACGCTAACTGTGACAAAAATGCCTTCCGAGCAAACCTTGCACTAGTAACGTCGAAGCGCATTTTTGGACAATTCGACGGAAGAACATTCCATATAATCTTCAATAGTTTCATCCGTCCCCATTTAGAGTACGGAAACATAGTACTCCCCCCTCACTCCAAAAGGACAAGGTCACTTTGGAGCGTATCCAACGGCGACCCGCGAAATCAGTTCGAGGACTCAAATCTAAACCTTACGAAGAACGCCTCCATTCACTAGACCTTTACCCACTAGAGTATAGGCGTCTTGGAGGTGATTTATTAATGGCTTATAGTAATCTTAACACTTCTAGACATCCTCTTAAACACCTACTTATGCTTAGTTCGAATAATAACCTAAGGGGTAACACCCAGAAACTGGAAACACAACATAGTAAGACGGAATGTAGACACAACTTCTACTCCTTAAGAGTTGTCAAAAGCTGGAATTCGCCGCCGGCCGAGCTAGTCCAAGCGACTTCTCAGGAGTCCTTCAAGAGGCAACTTGACCTATTCTTAAGGACCAAGGACAGCATCACACTATGATTTACCAATTTCTTTTCCTCTTTTATTGTTAACATACCTAGGTTCCTGCGTGGAGGATTTGGTGATCCCCTGCTACTAGACACGGAAGGCTGTTAAGCGAAAGCTTTTTCTATTCCGTCCACAACCATTTGAACCATTTGAAAGATTTGTTTAAGTGAACGACACGTTGCCACCTCTTTGAACGTATCGTTCCGTTCGTAGTTAAGATGTTGGACTTCTTCGTTATCATCACAAAAGGCGGGATTCGTTTATGGTGTTTCCCCGGATCAATAGATATATTCAGGTTATCAATAAATACATTCCTCAAATCCCTCATATTAGAGGTTAGTTACGTGTGATATAGGGAATCATGTTTAATAGGAGAATGCTGGTCGCTCACCTTTTGTTTACGACTCTAGAGCTATGAAATTTTACATGGATAATGAATTTAACCTGTTATTTGTTGTAAGTTTCGTTGATAGAGTGACGCTTTCAGGCCGCATATCAAAATGTCCTTCAATTAAACTATGTGGATAAGTTTTTGACAGACATTGCTCTGGAATTTAGGGACAAGTACAAAAATAAACTGGTTAACCACGACATAACTGGGTCTTACGATGAATTTTTACCTATCTATCAAGCTACTCTAAAGCGCACTGAAGACGAGTTCCGGGACCTTCGTAAAAGTTCCAAGTAAATTCAGTTTTGATTTATATAGCTTTGTAGACAGATGAGGAAGTTTGAAGATTCTGATAAGTCAAAAAAGACTATCGCCTCTATGATTGTCCGAAAGGGTAAAAATGCTGAGGGCTATGTAAAAGATATTCCTATCGCCCAAAAGGAAAGTCTAGTTTCTGAACCCAAAGTGGAAGGTATTTTCGCTCTGAAATTATCACAATATTCTTAGAGCCTCCAGTAAATGGCATCGACACTTTTGAACAGAATAGACTCAGACTGGCTGCTAAGTTTAAGGGATCAAAGAAAAGTAAAGAACCAAAAAGGTAAGTCTCTTGGGTATTGATATTGTTGCTTCGGTTTTATTGTTGTCCTCTAAAAGGCATGACAAAAAAATAGAAAAATATACCTAAAATACTTTCCTGAGACTCGATTGTAATATCAGTAGTAGATCGCTTCTGTACTTTTGATTTTTAATTTGTATTTGATTGTGTCTTGATCTCAGCTTGAAATTGTTCATTCTGGTGTTTATTTTGCTTTACAGTGTGCCCTGCTACAAAACATAGCATCTCATACTGTTGTACTCTTACTAGACCCTTTGTTATGCGGACTTTTCTCGATATTATCCAGTCTAGTAACCCCAGGTTTTACCTAGTCGACGAAGTTGTATGTTACATAAACGCGATTACTTCTGCATGTTTTCTTCATTCTCTGCCTACTGCATGCTATTTCCTTCTAATATTTCACAATGCCCCACTTGAGTTACAACTTTCATTCGCAATCTAACCACGTTCCGATGAAATTATACTTCATTCACACCTTACTAGGAGACCCAACTATTCAATAAAAAGGAAGGATGTATTTGTAAACTCTCAGTGAATGAATTTAAAGTAAATCCAATGTTTCGCCTTGCAATCGGGTCCAAGCTTTCCAAGGAGTTTTAATCAAACATCAAAATTATGGAATATGAATAGGTACATGGTTCTCTGGTTCACTGTATACTAGATAGGTCATCTAATCAACCTTGACAACGTTTGAATTATGTATTTGCTTTAGTGTGTAAGACATGTGGTATAAAACGAAGTGTTAAGATGACAGGTTGTATGTATACGTAATTGGTGTAAGAAGAAATTTCATTACCTATATATTGTCTCTGGTCGGTTAATTTTAAGAAAACATACAATTTTTATGTATGATATGAATCAAAAATGTCACAGCATGCATAAAATGAAGATAAATAAACAAGATAAAGGAACGCATTAAAAGAGGTAGAATGTAGTTGTTAATGAATGTTTGTGTTATTTTTATTGTTCCAGTTAATTTTCTAACATATTCAGATAAGATAACTGAATAAAACCGTTGAATGTAATTGCTGTTATTCAGATAATAGATAAAATGGAATAAAGAGTTCAGGTTTACTTATTAATGATCATTCTCCATGGGGCAGCTAATTGTATTCCATCTCTCCCATTAATACTGTTTGGGTTTGCCCAGTATTAATAGGGGAGATGGAATGCTATAGTCTGATTATAATTGCTATATGGCTGTCAGTTAAATCCAAAACCCGCGTTTCTTCCGATTTCGGACCCATCATACGAATGTACTTTTATCTCCGTGTTAATCTTCAGACTCGTCAGATAACGCCCTGTGGGTTTGAAACGAAAGGTATTAGGTTGATTTCTCAGTGTGAATATCAACATTAAGATCCAGATGCATTCGGCTGGTGAGTTCTAAACAGAACGACGTGCGTTCTAGATTTCCAACCGCCTACTAAATATTCTAAAACTGGTAACATGATGATGTATCAAGGCAGTCTGTAAAATATGCACATATGGCAACAGGGGCTGGTCAACTAAAGTCCTGGATTTTAACGATAAATTACAAATTCCTGCTGACATGAAAATGATGGTTTTTGTAGAAAACGACAGATTAATTGTATTGTGTTTTCCCTTCTCCTCAACGGTTCTTACAAGTTGATTAAACATTGGGAATTATCCATTCAGTCAGAAGAGGTTGATTATGAATACAGTGGTTTTGAGTGCTGTTAGCGGTATGAGGGCGATTATCACTCCCCGGTTTCCCACACCGTGGAAGGGTATTTTATTTATTTATTATTTATTTGAACACATAAATATTGGTACAAGAGAGCGCCAATATATATGCGCCACACAAAACAATGGGAATTCGAAGAGAAGCAAAAAGAAAAAAAAAACTAAGGAACGCAAAAGAAAAAGAGAGTAATGACGAAGAGGTACAATCAGAAGAAATCTTTCAGGTAAAGGAGAGACAACCACTTTTTATGAAGAAAGTAAAAGAAGGTTACAGCAGGATCGCCACTGGCTTCTATTCTGAGCCATATCTGATAACGTCTCTAGCCACTGTGTAGCACCATCTCTCGGACCCCAGCCAGGGAGTCGTGAAGGACCAACACAAGCCAGTCCTTTGCAGCTTTCTTTCATGCCACGACACCATGTCAAGCCCCCTGAATGCCCTGGTACGGCCGAGAGTGGGGAGAGTCCGCTCTCCCTCTCGAAATACTCTCACACGGCCACGCGTATACAGCCTCTGCCAGGGAAGTCCTACTCATTGCCTTCTCGTGGCGGGGGTGTTGTTTACGAAAATGAGAGGACGAAAAGCGAACGTCCGGCGCTTTAACCGGATTCCCAAATCAATGGTGCACATGGGCTCCAGTATCCTGCGGGAACGAATGGCGTATGAACCAATCGTTGGTCACCGGCTACCATGGGACTGCATCTCCTTACGATGCCCCACTGCCTTGTGGGTTAGACCCTTAGGTCAAAGGCTCGGGGAGTGGCCCCCTAAGATAACCACCTGCTTCGGTTTGGGCACCCGGGCAGTATCACAGCCCACACACAAATGATGAACTCTTTACGTCTATGGAAATTACTTTTTTTTGTCGTGGAAGGGTTCTTCTGGAGGTACCTGGAAAGGAGATCAGATTGAAGGTGGTCTTAGTGACCCGAGAGATGGTAACACCAATTGAATTATCATCTCTCTGCCCGAACACACGATGCCGAACCTCTGCATTACTGACATGGTGTTGCCACTGAATGTCAGAAATCCTTCGGAGACAGCGATGATCGAACACAGAGAGTCGTCTAACGTCCTCAACTCGAAGAGGCCATGTTTCGCAAGCATAGAGCAAAACTGCTCTCACCGACGCGTTGTAGATCCGACCTTTTACAGCCAGACTAACTTCACGAAGGCGCCAAAGATGGTCCAGATTGGCATAAGCCGCTCTGGCTTTCACTATACGTGCATTGATCTCATCACTCACACCCCCACCAGCACTTATGCAGCTACCCAGATGCACGAACTTCTCGACTACTTCTATCTGCTCACCATCCAGGGTGAGTACAGGATTGGAATCCTGCCAGTCTTGTAGGAGTACTTTGCACTTCGAAGGTGCAAAGCACATACCATACCTACGGACACTGATTGTCAACTGATTAAGTGCGGATTGTATGCCTTGAGCATTATCGCACAGTAAGACAATATCGTCCGCATACTCAAGGTCGAGAAGTCTTTCTCCAGGCAACAGATCCACACCACCATTACTTACATTCATCAGAGCTGTTTCCAGAATGTCATCGATGGCAAAGTTGAAGAGGAATGGTGAGATTGGGCAACCCTGCCTAACCCCACTGCTTGAATGGAACAATGGAGAAAGGTGGTTGTATGCTCTCACTGTGCCTGGAGTGTATGAATGTAGGGCTTTCAAGATGTCAGTAAAGTTCTCAGGCACACCCTTCTTCAACAGACAATCCCGGAGAATATTCCTGTCGAACGAATCGAATGCGGCTCTAATGTCAAGTAACATTACGATTGTTGACCTGTGATTGGTATGACGGTGTTCTAACATTTGGTGGGGGGGTGAAGATATAATCAATACGTCCTCGACCAGAACGAACACTAGCCTTCTCACGAGTCAATCTTTCTCGGGTTTTGAACAACCCACGAAGTATGATGGAAGCCAATAGCTTGGACGCAATCGGAAGTAGACTTATCCCCCGATAGTTGTTGAAGGAACGACGTGAACCCTTTTTAAAGATAGGGACAACTATCGACTCATTCCATGACGTTGGTACACTCTCTAGTTCCCAAACCTTTATAAACAACGTCGTCAATTCCTTAGTCAAAAAGTCACCACCATCTTTAAAAAGAGCCGGAGGTAAGTCATCTGGGCCAGGTGATTTGTAACGCTTCAAGAGTTGGAGTTCCTTGCGGACTTCCTCCTCGTTTGGTGGATCAGTCGTCACCGGCCATGGAGGAAGGACAGTCTGACCGATGTTGCCGGAGCAGCAGGCCAGTCGAACTGCCCTTCAAAAAATTCTGCCCACCGTCCAAGACGTCGATGGATGTTAGTGATTGGCCTCCCATCATCCTCGCAGATTGTTTCACTCACACCAGACTTCTTGCTGCCAGTGGCTCGGATGAGCTGGAAGAGCTTCCGGTAATTACCAGATGCAGCTGCTGCTCCCAGCTCATTAGCACGCTTCGACCACCAGGATTCTCGGTCCTTACGCAAGCTTTGCCCGATTTCCTTACATAACATCCTTCGTTTATGGTCAAACTCACGGTCACCCGGAGTAGACCGACGAGCTTCAATGAGTTGTAAGGAACCAGAAGAAACCCAGTGCTTAAAAGCGGGACGTTTCGCAAACCCACAACTGACTGTTCCCGCCATTTTCATGGCGTCATGCAATTGCAACCAATGCTCATCTATACTTTTCGGTGGAGTGGTAGCTAGCCTAGAGGCTAGCTCGGTTCGATACTTACTTGCAACAGAAGTTGCAACCAGCTTGCTAACATCAACCCGTTGGTGGCGGTCACTTCGTTGGCCACTGAAAAGTAAGGCAAGATTGGCGCAGACCAAGGCATGGTCAGAGTCCAGATAGGTACTCCAAAAGGAGCGGCAGTCTTTTACACAACCACGCCAGCGGTAGCTGATCGCGATGTGATCAATCTGAGTCCAGGCTTGGGATGCAGAGGGAGGACGCCAGGTGGCACATCGGCGATGACTGTGCCGAAAGTTAGTGCTAGCCAGAAACAGGTTGTGGTCTGTGCAAAGTTGCAGTAGACGGTCCCCGTTATCTGACCTGCGACCAACGAGTCCCCATCGGCCACCTAAACGACTCTCTTCTGTGCCTAGACGCCCGACCTGAGCATTCAAGTCTCCGGCTAGTACTACAATATCTGTCGAACGCACTTTCTGGAGAACAGATAATTGGCGGTAAAACTCATCCTTGATTGCATCCGGGCTGCAATCTGTCGGGGCATAGGCGGAGATGACGAAAAGACATCG